CCTTAAAAAATAGAAATGTAACAAATGTCTTTCTCTAAAAAATCAGCTCAGACTTCTCAAGTGTGCTTACATTGGTTGTAAGACAAATTATATTCTTTTATCAAACAGATAGTGTTAGGGTAAGGCCCTACACCCCAAAGGGCTACAGACATTAACCACTGCCTTCACTGACCAAGTCCTCAAGGAGCTTACAGACTTCTATGGAAAATTTTAATAAATATGAATTAGAAAGTGACAATTTGGAGGCCGAGATGGGTGGATCACTTAGCCTAAGAGTTTGGGATTAGCCTGGGCAACATAGTGAAACCTCGTCTGACAAGAAATAGAAAAATCAGCCAGATGTGTTGGCCTGTCCCTGTCGTCCAACTATTTGGGAATCCGAGGTAGGAGGATTCCTTGAGGCCAGGAAGTTGACGCTGCAGTGAGCCTGGGTAACTGATTTGTTAAGGTCATTTCAAGGATATGGATAGGAAAAGCTAGATTTGAAAGCAAATTTTTAGAAGAGGAAATTTCCTACTGGTTATAGCAAGCACCTCCCAGAAAAGAAACTTGCAAATACGTATATCGAGGTATCATGGATATATTTTGGTACACAGGGTAGTATTTCACCTTCTTGGGATGAATAAAAAAGAATTTTATTCTTCCAACACTGAAAACAGTGCATGCATTTACTGCTGGAGACCATTAATCTGGTATGCCTCATCTGAACAGGTGGAGTGTTCAATATTCTGACTCCTGCTTTTGCCTTTGGAGAAACGGTAAGAAAGAATGCTTTGACCCAAGGACCAAGCCCTGTGCTTTATATTTAAGAAAACATACTTAATAAAGGAAAATAGGGGTGCCGAGTGATGAGGAAGTTTATTGCATTGGAAAAGAATAACTGATTTATCCTTGTTCATTCCTGGAAGGCAATGAACTAAGTACGTGTGATAAAAATATCAGAGTGCAGGGAACTTACTTAGATAGGTGTCCAGGGAAGCCCTATCTGAAGAGATGACAATTACGTGAGCTGTGAAGAATGAGGAAGTGCCAGATGGAAGGCTAATGGAGCCAGCCTGGGCAATAGTACCGAACAGAGAGGTGGGTGGGGAGAAGGCTGCTATCCATAAACAAGGGGGTGCTGTAGGATGGAGACCACAGGAGGAGGATTGTGGGTGGGTAGAAAGATTGTTGGGGAAGGGATGATGGAGCAGGAGGCCTTTGTAAAGAAAGATCTGGAGCCCAGTGGTGGCCTGAAAACAAAGCAGGGTGACTTTAAGGAACTGCATTTATCTCTCTCCATTTCCCAGAAAGGATTTAAGACGGCTTGTTTCTAACACATTAGAAGTTAGAAACAAGTAAGTGAAGAAGTAAGGGGGAAGGGAAAATTCATGGGGGAAAATAAGAGTAAGCTGAAATACAGTTCTGACCATAGGTGAGCCACAGATTTGGTTCTGAGCTTCCTAGCTGCCTATGTGAAGAGAGAAGTAGAATCAACAAGTGGCTTGAGATACAGAGCAGCAGATCAGAGGATGGATGAGTGGATGAGAGCAGAGACGAGAATGGAGAACTATTCACAACCTGTCATGAGGTCGACAGTAGAAAATTAAAATAACAACAAAAAAGATAATACCTTGAACTGTAGAAATGGTTTCTTCAGAGGTTCTCAAAATCATCTGCAAATATTATTGAATAAAGCTTGTTAATTTCCCTTAAAATGTAAACTGACTATAGAATCCTGTGGCTCTTCTTGCTGATGTCTAATGGAAAATGTCTACATGCATTACCAATCTAGGAAGCTTTCAGTTTGGTCAAGCATAGGGTCTGTAAGGGGAGGGGTGGGAGCTGGAATGAATACTGAGATAGCTGTCCCTGTACAGGAATCAAGGGATAGTGTTCCATCTGGGAAAGCTCTTTTGCTGGATGAAGTCTTGGAAAGCCCACACGCGGAGCAGTGCAGGAGGAAGAAGCCATCTGCCATGTGAGGTCAGCCAAATGTGGCTGTTAGGGGTGGCACTTTGTGTGTGAGGGGGTGGTGTATGTATGTGTGCATGCATGTGTGTGTGTAAGTGCACTGCGTAACAGAGTCCAGGGGCTTAAAATTATTAGACAGACCCAAGTCTCAAGACGTAGGCCACACTTCCTCTGCTTCAGGATGCCCACAGACATACATAGCCTGCGGAGGTATGATCTGACAACACCGTGTCATTCTGTTGTTCTGAGAATGTGGCTGAGCCATTCTCAACATAAAGATATTTTCCCACCATCCCGTATCTTTGCTAAATATCTAGTAACCTCCCCGTGCCTTCGTACTAACCAATGGGGAAAAACAGTAAGAAAGAGGGAAAACCAAACCTTTCTATTAAACGGGCAGACCCTGACTTGGCTCATCCATGGCTTCCGAATTCAGCTCTGTCCCTCCCGCCACCGCCTCCCATCACTGCCCTCTTTCCCATCTCCGCAGTCAATGTTGCACCTGTCAGAAACTTGCCTTCTTTGTACTTCCACCTCAAAGCAGGAGCCCTCTGCTTCTCCCTCTACCTGAAGCCCTGATGCCAGATAATGGGGGACAGGTGGGTGGCGGTGGACTCACTGTAATCAGTTCCCTGGGCACTGACGTACGAGAAGGAGAAGTGAGAGGAAGCCACAGTATCTGTCTTCTCTCTCTGTCTCTCATTTCTCTAACTGTGTCTCTCTTTCCCACTCTTACTTCCACTTCCTCTTATTCTGTAACAGAAAGGAAGGCGAAAAGGAGAAGCAGCAAAAAGGAAAGGGTCTTTCCTACCATGTTGGAGTCAGAATAAAAAGAGCAACTAGAAGCATGGCCAGATGCCCTGCGTTCAAATCTTTTAATGACTGGCTCTGTGGGACTGCTCAAGTCATTTAACTGGTCCAAACTTCAACTTATTAATCTTTTAAAAATATATTTAAGGGGCTAATAATAATTTATTCTTCAGGGCTGTCGTGAGGATTAAATGAGATAACGTATGAAATGGGCATAGGGTATTTACCGGAATAAGTCTGTTCAACTAATGTGCCTCAAAAAACAAAAGAGAATTATTCCCCACCTTCTCATCCATTCCCTCTGTGTTCTCTCCCGCCTTCTCATCCATT